AATGGATGTTTTGGGGGGAGGCGCATTTCCCTTGGGTATCCGGAATGGGCGCGCTGGTGTCCCAAATGCAGGCGAGGATGAAGGAATTGGATCCCCTGTTGCCCTTCTGAAGCGATCAGGATGTCGTGGCGTTGAGGCGTCCATGTTGTCTCGAGACTTCAAGAAACGCGACAAAGCCTGATAAATTTGATATCGGTTCAGAATCTCAAGCGAAAATTAATTCAGAATAGAAAAGAATCTGGTAAAAAGCCAAAGTAAATGCATAGGTAGAGAGGTGAGGAAGAGAGAGGAAGAAAGAGAGATCCCAGAATTCAATTAAATCGACGCGTGACGCGCGCCGGAGCTAAAGCTTCTTCCAATCTCTATTCTCTTTTTTTTTCCCACTTCACTCGACTCTCCCACTTTAGTCTTATTATTATTTAATAAGGCTATCCTTTTAATTTTTCATTTTGTCTCTTCTTTCACGCTTCAGTAACATCGCATTCACCATGGCTGATACACAAGACGTTCAATCGCCTGTCTCAGAGCAAGAGAAAAGAGCCCAACTCGATGATTTGATCGCACGTGCCGCTGCAAAAGATGCGACCAAAGACCACGACTCTGCTTCTGAGCTGTACTCCCAGGCTACCGAGCTTCAGGCCGAACTCAACGGCGAATTATCCCCCGAGAATGCGGATTTACTCTATGCCTACGGAAAGTCATTGTACAACGTGGCTGTGAGTAAAAGTGATGTCCTTGGCTCCAAGGTAGCCGGCGAGCAGCAGCCGCAATCCGGCATCGTATCTTCAACAAATACATCTTCCGTTGGGTCGAAATCCACCAGTGATTCGCTTGTTCAAGACACGATCGCCAATTCGACGGAAAAGTCGTCTTCCACCAAGCGCGCACACAAAGGACCAGAGCCCACAGAATCTAAGCCGTTCTTCCAGTTTACAGGAGACGAGAACTTCGTCGACTCCGAGGATGAGGATGACGAAATTGCCGAGCAAGCCGAGGACGACGAAGAAGACGACGATTTCGCCAATGCATTTGAGGTCCTGGATCTTGCCCGTGTTTTGTACCTCAAGAAACTGAGCGCTGCAGAGGAAAATGACAGGGGCAAAGGAAAATCGACTGTGGTATCCTCGGACATAAAGCACATCAGGGAAAGAATCGCAGACACACACGATCTTCAAGCTGAAATCTCATTGGAAGCAGAGAGATTCAGTGAAGCAGTTACTGACTTAAGAACTGTTCTCGAATTGAGAAACTCGCTATATCCTCTAGAAGATCCCTCTGTTGCTGAATGCCATTACAAGCTCTCCCTTGCCCTGGAATTTGCATCAGTCCAACAAGGTGATGAGGAGAATGGCAACAATAAACCCAAGGTTGATGAAGAGATGAGGAAAGAGGCTGCCACTCAAATGGAACATGCCATCGCGAGTTGCAAGGTCCGAATGGCCCAAGAGGAGAAAAAACTTAAGGCCGAAAAGGATGGGGATGAAGATAAGGCAACTGCGACAAAGCGAAAGATCGCCAATGTCAAGGAGATTATCACCGAGATGGAGCAAAGGGTAAGTATCTTCTCTCTTATCTTTCGTTTGTATCTATTGCTTGAACTCGTTAATAATGAACTAAATCAGCTTGTTGATCTGCGCCGGCCACCTGTCTCAATTGAGCAGAACGATCAAGCCAACGAGGCTATGTTAAAGGGGGTTCTGGGTCAGATTATCGGTCAATCCGCAACCGACCAGAAAGCCCAGCTTGATGCAGCTAGCAAGGAAGCAACAGATCTATCTGCGTTTGTCAAACGTAAGCCTGCAAAGCAGCCAACTCAGCAAGCCGAAACTGCCTCGAAAAGACCGGCCGAAGAACCCGTGGAGAATGGCTCCAAGCGGTCTCGTGTTGACAATGCTTCCCCTTGAGGTCGTCTTGTGTCCTTGGACGGAATCGTAATTTTTTTTCCCTTTCTCTTTTATACATCCTAGAACCCATCTGGATTACCAGTGTGTTAATGAATTCAATGACTCGGACGCCGTGCGAAATGCCAGACTTCCTAAAAAATAGAAATTCATAACTCGCGACCTCTTGTTAACTGATATTATAGTGGACTTGTATGCAATAGAAAAAAGCAAGACAACGAGGTTGTTCAAAGGGTATCATATCACATTATGCAATGACCGCATCCCACAAGGAAAGGTCCAACCCCAGGATTTCCTACAGGTTATGAGATTCCCCACATCGCAGGTCGACGTTTAATCTCGCGGTTTCTTCGACGCGCAGCAAGTCCAGGGCTCCAGATTCCGGCGAACAGATCCTCACACTCATCTTCGTCCTGGCTGTCAAACTCTGTATCTGCTGGGCCAGACTCGATTTCATATCGGTGATCGGCTTGCATAGTCTGGTCCACACCGGGTGGAGATTCCCAGCACGAGGAGGCAGCGATTTTCTTCGTTTCCAAAATGAACTTGCCAACCTTGTACCGTTGTGATTCTTCTTCGGCTGCAACATACTTCCAGCCCAAGACACTGTCGCAGAACGTGCAGGTAACGTCGCTGACTGTATGTGCCCCTGTAACAAGCTGGCGTGGAACTGGACGCTGCAATACCGTATTAGGGAGTGAAGCTGTAGGCGAAGACGATGCGCTGACCGACACGGCAGTGGCTACTGGCTCCGCTGACACAAGATAGGCACGGCCATGGCGACCTGTAAACCCTTTGCTAATAATTTGGGAAGTCCAGCAAAGATGTGAGGCACAGCCTGCGCAGCGCAGATAGGAGACATGGCCGTCGAGATACTTCTCGGTCTTGTTTTGGGGTCTATGGTCCGTTGGAGAAAGCCCCGCACCGCGTTTGGAAAACACAGAGGGAATGAGGAATTTGGGGAACTGGAGAGATTTGATGCGCTCCTTGGACATTCTGTAAGATATTTAAATGCACTCTGAAAGGACCTTGAAAAGCTTCCCCTAGGTTGGAAGGGATATGCCTAGGTGAATGTGAACGTGAGGTCATACCTAGGTAGCTCTGGAGGTATACGGCTTATCTCTTATCTTATCCGTGTCACGACTTCTTTTTTGTGAAAGCGGGAGTGACATCTTCATTAGTAGAACAGTATATAGAAGTCACAATAACGCATGAAAAAGAGATAAAAACATTCAAATGATATTCTTTCCTCGATACTTGGAAAAACAAAAAAGACAGTCATATTATCCACCGAAGTATTAAGACAAAAACAAAGATCCATAACTTCAATCCATGAGTAAAATAAACGAATCATGCGATGGCATTATCGCTAGACTTCAGCGACCAAGAAAAGCCATTTATTACTAAGGCAAGGCCCTTGGTCGCCGCATGAGACCCAAGGTGTCAAGGTGGTGAGGCTGAATCCACACCATCCTAGACTTCGCACGAGCTCCATTTCATCTGAGCGCTGGGGGCGACTGACACAGGCAACTATTTGCGAGCACCCAAAGGTGGCAATATCGGCAAGTTCAAACAGAGCGATCAGGCTGAGAGGTGGAGGGCGAAGGTCAGCAGGTAAATCAAACACACATGGAGGGCTGTCACCGAGCAAAAGGGGAAAGCCTTGACTGGATCAAGGAAACACAAGGGGCGTACATACCCAGACTTGAGGCCGTGTTCAAGTCCACGGTCCTCGAAGAAGACGAACAAGGTCCGCTCCTTATTGTGTTCAGCCACAAATCCGCGGTAGATGGCATCGCCGGAGTAATCCCACACTTCTATCCATCGCTGGATTCGATCATGCTGATGCCCGATTTGATTTGGCTGGACATTTTGAAACGCATCCATCCCCAGCGACTCCTGTCCCACGAAACTCCTCTCACCCAGGAATGTCGCGGACAGTCTGTCACAGAAGAGTCTCTCACACTCTTCCGGGATGTTATGCGTTGCCTCCCCCTTGTACTCTAGCCAATTGTTTCCAGGCCAGGTTCGTTCCGCGCGGGAATCGAGGATGTCGTGGGGAGGACTTAAAAGAGACGATTTGGTCCCCGAAGGGACCTCAGGGATACCACTGTACCCCTAAACTTGAAGATTAGACCTCGAGCGGCATGCAATTTTTTTGAGTTACGAAATACTGACCGGCGCCCAGGGTAGTGCAGTAGTGGAAGCCGTGGACCTTGGAGGTCGACGGCTCAACACTGTAGCAAGTAGCGAGAACGGTGCTCTGGGAGTTTTGGTCGAGGAACTGCTGCATTTGATTGGAATTACTACTGTGGTTATTCATATATTTCGCCATGATAGTCGATCTTTCAGATAATTGTTCTGGGAGGGATTTGATGAACGGTGTAGGTCAAGATATCGATCTAGATTGAAATTTGAGATTCGAAGTGAGTAGGGAAGACACGATGAAGACGGCTGGTGTTTTGGTGAAGAAAACAAGTGGTCGGATTGATGTTGAACAGGAAGTGGTTGTGGTGTGGACATTGTGGAAGTAGAGACGGTGTGAATTGGGGGGGTGTTTTTCCCCGGTCACATGACCATACGTCCTACACTTGGATGTAATTATTCTTTGGACATATTTCCTCGCCCTTCTCCCGTTAGTTAATTATTAGTAGTGTTATATATTATGGCTTGACTTTTTTTTTTTTGTCTTGTACATGATTTCTACCAGTTGTTCAAGTCTAGAGGGTACTGTCAAGCCAAGTTACAAGTGATGTATTAATGCCCAAAGGTAAGATTTATATCAATGGAAGGGTTGGCATTATAGCGAACTAATGCCCAATATTAACGCCTAAACCCTTGCAAAAGTATTTCGGGACGTAAGAAGTGTTAAATTATTCTTATTGTAGCTATGGTAGTAGTACACACTCCGGAGGTAAAAAAAAAAGAAACCTCTCAGGATGACACAAGAAAATGAAGGATGAAGAGGGGGAGGGGGGAGGGGGAGAGAAAAAGAAGAAGTAGGAAAGGCAAAAAAAAAACCGCTCTAAATAATATGCATATACACAGTGTACGAAAACCATAATGCAAATCCATAAGCCATAGCCAGCACTTATCTATTCAGAGCTCCCTGTAATCGCTAGGCCGAACCCGTCGGTTTCTAGCCTGATGACGTTGCGGATTCACAGGCTGACGGAAATATGGTGAATCTTCTTCCCGGGAGTATGGTGTGCTGAAAGCTGTCCGCTGCTGATTTGAGAAATTGTTCATTCCAGAGCTTGGTCCTTGGAACCCATTCTGGGGCATGGGGAACATCATGGAAGGGTCTCCATTGAACATATTGGGAAATCCGTTGGACATACCGCCATTGCTCTGGTCGAACATTCCAGCTTGAAGAGGATTGAAAGGCATGTTCATCGGATTCCATCCCGGAGCCATCCCACTGGGAAAACCATTGATCATGGGGTTCATAAACCCCATGGCTTCATTGTTGAATCCAGGAGCCGAGAAAGGCATCATAGACATGCCTTGCATTGGCCCAAAGGCGTTGAAGGGCATATCCTGATTATTAAAATTTGCTGGGGCAACAGGCGCGCCGTCTTGGGCGCCACTAGTCTGAGTCGGAACGTCGGAACGACCATCATCTGCCTTCTGTTTCTTTGACACGATACTCGGCTCGGAGCTTGCAGTTTCGCTCCGGTCGGTAGGCTCGTCCTCGGCAGATCTTTTCTTGGATTGTGTGGGCGCAGTCTCTTGGATTTGATCTAGCGGGCTCTGCTCTTTGTTGGTGGAAGATTCCTTGGGTCCGGTTTCGGAGACTTCGGTAACAGGAGTACCATCCGGGCCTGCGGGGAGTTTTTCCTTCTCCTTCTTGGCATCCGCCTTGTCGGCTTCATATACCTTAATTTTTGATGCAGATTCATCATCAGGAGTGAGGTTGTCAAGTAAGACCCCCTCGGTAGAACATCCCGGGCAAACAAAGTCGCTTTCGATCAAGGCATTTGAAATACAATCATTGCAATATGTCCTCTGGCAACATGGTGTCTTTGTTGGCTCTAAAAACATCCTCTTGTCAATTGGGCATTCCAGACCTCGAGCTTGCAATGCTTTGCTTTCCTCGGCAGCTGCTGCTTCAGCAGCTGCTGCCGCCGATGCCTTCGCCTTTTCTTGGTACAATTCCCAGGCTGCCTTATCTGGCTTTGCAATAACAAAGTCGCCATCAGCATTCACCATGACGCCTGTGTTCCTTGAATCTTCAGTGGAGCCATCGGGGGCCAGGGATTCTGGTTTGTCGACTTTGGTCTGGAGTGAACGTGGTATGCCAGTTGATCGTTTGACTCTATATTTGCCGTCGAACTTGGGGTCGTTATTGGTAGGGCATGCTTGAATCCAGTGGCCTGCGTACAAAGGTTAGCGGTCAGTGGTAGGGCGATTTAGCTAAGAGGTGCATACCTTTTTCTCGGCAACGATAACAAAGATACCCCGGAGGCGGAGGGTGGTCGGGTACATTGACGGGTTTCCCTCTGCCACGACCAAACGGTACGGGTGTTGCGCTAAATCAAAGTTAATATCCCCAACATAGTTAAAGTCCAGTTAGGATGATCTTACTTTGCCATTTCTTGTTGTTGCTCCTGCCATTGGCTAGCCTGTAGGTTGAACAGAGCATTGATCTTCTCTTCTTCTGTCTGGGCATTATTGAGTTCAAGGACGTTGTTGTTCACGGATTGCCCCGTTCCAGGTGTTATTCGGCTCATTGAGGGTTCATTGCGAGGGGCAATGCGAGCGTTGACTGGCATCTTGCCCGAGACATAACGAGCGGCACCGCCCTTACCAGGGCGCGCTGCAGGCAATCGGCGGGCGATCACGGAAGTCGACCGAGGGATTATGGTGGTATCATCATCGTATTCTGTTGGGTGCCAGAAGAGTTCATGTTAATCAGGAGCAAATGGAGTGTATTGGAATAGAGCAACATACCCTCTCTGGTGTCCTCATTGTAGATCGACAGCTCAAAGTCACTCCCATCGCCCAATCTACTTTGGCTGATAATCTCTCTTTTGAGCTCAAAGACCGAAATACCAGTGCCATCGAAGGTGACCCTTGAGGGTTCTTTCTGGGACTTGAATTTGAAATGAACGGACGATGACATTGTATTCAATTTGGGAGGGGGATGATGCAACAAAGATGGCTGTAGGTGTACAGATTTAGGGGCACCGCCGCCGTGTACAGTGAGCAATAGGGGATAATAGAAAGAGCAAAGAAAGAAAACTCGTGGGATGAAGTGAAACCGGTGTATCACCAGTCACGACAACAAAGGTCGGGCAACAGATATTATCTGTTCAGATCACAGAGAAAGCACGAGATATTTTAGAAAAAAAAGAGCAGGGATCAATAGACCACCGAAACAATGGAATGTGTGAATGAATCTTTTTGAATGCTGAATGGTGAGTGTTCAGGTCACTGCATACAAATGGAGATCAAAGAATTGATGAATACGATGATCGAACACTGGTGTTGAATAATAAAAAAGGTGTATTCAAGAGAGATTTGATGGTCTGCCCCGTCCTTCAAGTGATTCGCAGAGCCACCCTAGCACCCTGACCTGTGATCGAACCTGGAGATCCTTGCAGACACCAAATCCAGTTATAGAGACACCTGTTAGGTATGAGCAAATTCACTATCAAACGACCAAGATCCAAGTATCGCAGTTGTTAGGTAATGTGTTTGATCGGGGGTGAGACGGAGTATCAAAGGGTGAGACAGAAGACCAAAATTTAGAAAGAAGTAGGGAAATAATTGGTGAGGATGGTGGGATGGGACCTCTCGTCGCAGTTGCCTAGGGGAGAGGAGAAGGTGAAGTGGCAAGTGAGGAAAAGTCAGATGATTTGCATTTCCACCGCTTTCCAGACCGCCTTTTATAAGATGCTACCACGTGACCCGTCTCCCATATAAAAAAGTGGGGGTACGTGACCTTTATACTATTTGCTCCCATATTTACTCCTATATTTAGCAGATAGTCAGTCTCCTTTCTCTCTCCATCCATTTAAGAATTTTTTTCAGAGAGCCTTTCTTGCTTAGTAGACTCCCGGATCTTCTCTCTCACGCTCTCATTATTTGATAGGGGATCAGCCCGGCTATAGTGGGACTTTTCCTTCTTGGTGACCAAATCCTCTCAATCGTTTTGTACTTAGTAGCCTCAAACGTTAAATCAATTGACCTGACAACTTCGTCATTTCTATCTTCATCTTGATGTGACTTTCTTGCTTTCCCATTCCTTACTATCTCCCCCTTTCACGCTCACTATTGCCGAAATGAAAGTTCTTCCAAAGATGATTAGTGAAGAAATCACTACACCCTCCCATAAGCATCCGGACTCTGCTCTTTACCCTCCTCGCGACTAGGTCGTCTTGAGAAAGCTGAGTGAGAGTCTACGGCCGGTTACCCTGCAGGAATGTGCAGATGGCATGGGCCCCGCATACACTGCTAGGAAATACCTGTCCCGCCTTAGAGGTGCTATGATCGATAACAAGCTCGCCTTTATGCGCATATGTGGCCAGATTTCTCTGACTGGCACTGAACTTGATAACTCGAGTATTCGGTAGGCACAGGCCCTCCAGGCTATATCGACACGTGGAGCTGGTTGCCTTAAAGCACCTTACGGAGAACAAAATGCACTGCTACCCCTAGAATCCTTGGGTATTGAATCGACGAGCAAGACGAAAACGACCTTATCCCCGGTGAATATATTATCTGCCTTATGTGGGAGAAGGTCCGAGGAAATTCGCTTGATATCAAGGAGTTCTGGAGGCTTCCGTATAAACAACGAGAAAGCATCCGTGCTAAGTTTAAAAAGGCCTATAGGTTTGTTAATAGCGGCTTGATGATCACGTCCTTAGAGCTAACTGGAACTAAGGAAGTTCTGAGCCTCGGGTATAAGCCTATCTTAGCGACCCCATCAAAGATCATACTTGATAGGACCAGAGGTGATGTATATGTTCTACTCTATCCATTATAACCATAAGCCAATAACTTGTACCAAAATCTCTAGTTTTAGAGGGATCGCCCGCATTAATCCCAATGCAAAATAGAAATACCATGACTTCGTGATGTTCATCCTGGTCCTAGCCTCCACAAATTGGGACAGGTAACCCTGTTGACAAACTGGCCAACTAGAAAAGGATACTACCAAGATCCATCAAAAAGATCTCTCCATTTCTTCCAACAATCAGAAAAGCCTAAGATCGCTGAACATATTTTCCATGAATATAAAAACGTAATTTGTGTTACGAGCTAGACATGAGTGCCCCAATTCTTCGCCTAGTTCATTTGTTTCTTTACTCGTTTAGCGATCTTGGAGGCTATGGGGGTAAAATGGCAAGAAGGCCAATGGGATTTAGAAGGTAGGGAGGGCATACCCAAAGTAGCTAGCTAAGTGTGTCGCTAGTCATTCCCTTATTATCTCGAACACCTTGCATATTAGACCTATTTTTTGATTTGTTTCATTTGGTCTGTATATCTTAATTGATGGGGTTGGCCCTCATCACCTCTATTCTCTATTCTCGTACAAAAACATAACACTTGCAAAAGATACCTATGAGAAAACCACACCTTTTGACACAGCCGAGTCTTTAGATTTCAGCCTCAAATTGGCGGACCAAAAATCCCTCCGTTTGGAGGTGGTCTTTCACTTGAGTCACGGTATATTCCCCACGGTGGAACTAGGACATGGTTAGAGACTCTGTGGTGGAATAATTTGGGAGAATGTAAACTTACCATCCCTGCTCCCAATGCTGCATCAGTGGTGGTTTTGTTGAAAACCTCTGCGAAGTGCGCAGGTACGCCAGCCCCGCTTGAAGCAATGACTGGAATCTTGATTGCAGCTTTGACATCTTTGATCAATTCCAGATCAAACCCACTGTTACTTCCATCTTTATCAATGCAATTCAAAAGAATTTCACCAGCTCCCATGGCTTCAACAGCCCGCACAAGTTGCCGCACATCGATATCGCGAGTTTCTCTGCCACCTTTGACAGTGCATTGATACCAGCAGAAGTTTTGCCCCTTTGAGTTGGGAAACTGGGTCTTAATTGTGTGGTGGTGGGTATCTTCTGGCTTATCCACATATACCCGCTTGGGGTCGACGCTCACCACAACAGCCTGCTTTCCATAGGCTTGTGATATCGTCTCGATTGCGGTTTGGCCATTCAACTTCTCGCCGGCGTGATAATAGTCCTCAGCGGCAAAGACAGAATCGGAGCCAACGCTGACTTTGTCAGCTCCAGACTTGAAATACATCGTTGCCACGTCCAGAGCAGGGACCCGAGTGCCATCAGTGTCAACGGTGTCTTTAATTCCTCCGCCGATGGTCAAAGGCACAAAGACCGTCTCTGATGTTCGTCGCAGAATTTCAAGCATGGGCGTATCAGCAATGGGGCAGTTTCGGAACGAGGTGATGTTCAAAAAGGTAACCTCATCTGCTCCTTGCTCGTAATATTTCTTAGCCATGTCAACAGGCTTACCGAGATTGCGAACGCTGCCACCGGCGTCTACTCCACTCTTCTCTCGAACATCATACTGGTCACCCTTGGTGACAACCAAGTCACCAGAGTCGTTTGTCCGAACATCAAGGCAAGCGATAACACGACGGGTGAGTCCATTCTCTTTGCCAGTGACCAGGTCCTGGGAGAGCGACTGGAATTGATCGCCGTTCAAGAATGCCCGTATGGCCCGCAGCCCAGCCACGCCACTCTTCTCCGGGTGAAATTGGGCACCAAAGATGTTACCCCGGCTAATAGCACCGATGAACTCTTCCTCGCCATATGTGGCTGTAGCCACAGACCAGCCGTCCTTTTCCAATACACCCGGGTTGTAGGGAGCCGCATAGGAGTGGACGTAATAATACTTGCTGGTGGGCCTGAGACCATAAAAGCTTTGATTCTTTGTGTCATCAGATCCAGTGTTGATTGCAGAATTCCATCCAATGTGCGGTACACTCTTTGAGGTATCGTTGAATTTTTGAATGCGCATAGGAATCAAGCCAAGCCCTGGAACGTCGTTATCCTCCTCTGAGCCCTGGAAAAGGGCTTGAAGACCAACACAGATCCCCATAAAAGGTTTCCCAGCTTCGATATGCTGTCGGATGGGCTCCAGAAACCCTCCTTTGTCCAGTTGGGAGAGACAATGGCCAAAATGGCCAACGCCGGGGAGGATCAGTTTCTAGGGTGTTATTGTTAGCAATGGCATGATTGTGAACCAGGCATGGTGGAGTTGGTCCTGGGTATTTGACTAACGTCAGCATTTTTCACATCCTCCGGAGATTTAACCCATTCAACATCATATCCGACTTGGTTGATCGCATTGACCAGGGAACGGATGTTTCCCGCAACGTAGTCCAGCAAGTGGACGGTAGGCATGGTTATAGGGATTTAGGCCAGAACCGCAATAGCGATCGCAACTGACAGCGTGCAAGGTAGTAGATTATCAAGGTTAGGCTACCGACACGATAAAGAATCCAGCTGTAAGACCATCGAGGGGACCCCGCCAAAATTCGCACGCTGAGTCATACATCTTTTTTTCTGCCAGACAAAATGCGGAGAATGGAGGTACACCGGGGTACTTCTTCATACCGGAGGGTTACTATACAATTACTATACAATTTAAGTTCCTTTTGTACTTCATAAGTACCTATGAGTCATGTGTAGAATATGCATACTACGGGGTTGTTTTCTTTAGACAATAGTAGCCCTAGGTTATTCAGTTTCCACCAAGGACCTCCCCTTCAATTGCAATATTATCTGGACAAGTTAAGTTGTACAATAACTTTGATATAGCCCTGGGGTGGTGCATGATGCAGAAGCATAATTCTCTTCAATAAGATCCAATTGCTCCGCACCTCCATTGTCGTATTGTAGGTTATTGGTTTTCGGCTGTGACTGGTCGCTCAGATCCCTGAAGATAGATGAGTCCATTCGAAGGCTGTAAGCTTACTGTCAGTTATGTATAAAAGAACGAAGGGTGTAGAAAGAAGATTGGCTACCGGGTGGAATTGTCGTAGCCGTACGCCTGCTGCTTGTAAGATAGCTGCGCTCTGTATGTTCAGATTAGATTATTAACCCGCTTCATTTGACCCCCATGAAGCGGACAAGTATTGGCTTACGTCGTTATCCATGTTGTACCCTTGAGAGTAAACAACCTCCGAAATTCCAACTTGGGCTATTTTAACGGTGCATGTCAAGCAAGGGCATCTGCGATCCACAGTAAGAATTTGTCTCTGGCACAGTTCATTTAAGGATGAAGTGGACTCACGTATCACAATATAGGATTGCCCCCTCTCGAATCCGCTCTCGGCCTGCTTCCAATAATGCGTTTTCTTCGGCATGAAGGCAAAGGCAGGTTGAGAGACCGACTCCTCCCCCGTCCCCGCGATTGCACCGTGGACCTAAAATGGTTTCCAGTAAGCTGATTGAACAATAGTGTCATTGAGATTATGTGGTTCTGGCCTGTATCGTACATCCACCTTGGTTGCAGTTCTGCAGATGTCGTGGTGTCCCATTATATCCTGTACTGATGACACGACTCTCTCGAACGAGCACACATCCCACTCTTCGTTTCATACAGTTGCTTCTTTGGGCGGCAAGAGAGGCCAGCTGCATGAAATACTGGTCCCAGTTTGGTCTCAACCGTTGTTCGTCTGCGAGGTCGAGGGTCTGCAAAGCCAAGTGTAGCTCTTCAAGGGACGACGAGGAGTTGAACAGGCGCACTTGGGCTTTGTCAGTCAAGTATACGCGTCCAATCTCCTTGTCGTAAAGATTATGGTCGTTCCACATTACGAACTTTTCAAGTTCAGGTGGATCCAGTTGTCTTCTCCAACATCTTTTTTTTAGGAAGAAGAAACGGTCAGCTCTCGGGCTTTAGTCATACACAGCATTACGAACCTGTCGGCAAATCGTTTCCAGCGGAGGCTAACTGGTGCATCGACGCTCACAAGGAGGAAAAAGGGACGCAAGAGGAATCGATCTAGGGTAGTGGCATCTGCAATATCTGTGGTAACCCAGCGTTCTTGCCATCTCTTCGTCGCAAAGTCAAGTAGAGAGTCGGCATCTTGAAATGTAAGCTCTGGCGACTTTGGGTCGTCTTTCTTTCTAATCTCTGATGCTTGCAGTCGCAAATCATCTCCCGGCTCGGTGATGTGGGATTGGGATTTGTTGTCGAGTTCAAGAAGCTGAAACCCTTCCTGGATCAGGTACTCAGCAATCGCATGTTTGCCAGCGCAAATACCTTTTGACGTTTGTCCTCGTTAATTCATGCGATGTGAGGGGTTGATTTGCGACAATTTGCTGACCTCCACATAAACCGATAAGCATTTCTCGGGTGTTTAACAATACCTAAGTAGTGTTGGAAAGAGGCAAAGAGAAAAAGAAGAGAAACAGGCAGTGGGGCATAGTAAACGGGAAAGTCGCGACGCGATCTTATCGGCCTGATCTTATCGGCCTGATGTTGGGATATTGGGCAGCCCTTGAGGTAACTACCTAGGTATATTTTGTACATCGCTACAAGAGGTTTAATTGTCCTCAATGTACAATAGAGCCCTTGAGGATTACATATTTCAATAGATCGCGTGTTCAGCAGAAGTCACCTGTTAAGCTCACGAGATGATTATAGCCTGATGATCCAATACTAAAATACACACGTGTGAATATAGAAATTATATAGATTATATTATATATAATGGTAAATATCTCATATAAAAATTTCGAAAGGTCGAAAACACCCTTGAAACAAAGCAAAGGCAGAGACCTCAGGCAGTGGACGTGAAGATAAGCCCCCCTCTTCTCTCGTGACATCAGGCCCTTTCACCTCCTTTTACACACCTTTACACCCTCTTCCCGCCTTAACTGTTACAACGTTCTCTGTATTCGGGGACTCGATAATATTTTCTTCTCTTTCTCTTCCCCTGTCCCTCTAAGATGCAGTACACACCGTTTGCTTCCGATATCGAATTACCTTTCTATACTTCACTTGCTTCCCATAAGATCAACCATGACAAACTAGATGACTCCGCCCGGCCCGTTCTGGGATTATACGAGATCCGTCCTTCTGATCCCGAGGCTGCGTCATGTCGAATCCAAATTCATGGGAACGCCCTCAC